AGAATAAGTGGTTTCTACAGCTCGTGGGCATTATAATGAACTGCTTTGCGTTGCATTCATCCTCAACGGTTGTCTGTAACAAATTCGTGGCTTATGGTTCGAGCACCTAGCTCGTTTGCGTAGGCCGTTATATCGGGATGAGCATCGCGAACTGCATATTTTTTTAGAATCCACTAAGTCAGCACAAAACTTGTATTTGCCACAGTGAGAAACAACGGCAGTTATTTACTCAATCGACATCCCTAAAAAGAGGCTTCTATGAAGTGTGGAAAATAAGACAACTGTTTTATCCTTTAATCACACAGCAAACAAGCGGCTAACACGTGTTTGCGGTGAAAGCTTCGAAAACGTACCTCATATCATTCAGTTTCAGTTCAGGAAATATTACTAGAGTCGCTACGATATGCTGCCAGCTAATTGCAGTAGGTAAATAGGTATCTTGTAAACAGAATCCAGTAGATAACGTGAGAATCTCAAAAAAACACCTCTTAGAATTTAGTTTTGCTGTTCAATGTAAACTTTGTGATTTTCTCCTGTGTTTCAGTTTCAATGCTGGAAACCTTGCGTCAGAAACGAAATTCGAAAAAGTCATACCCTCAACGGGATTTAGTGCAGCAACGATTTTAAGAGCTAGATCGTATTCATATTCATAGGTCGTGACGATTCATATTCACACGCACGCCTGATCACCCACCGTATCATGACACGCATTTCTCACCCGACCTATTGAGTTCTATTGCCGTGGTTTCGTTCGTTCTCATCTAAAACGAAATCGATCAACCATCCAAGGCGAAAGATCCCAGCTTTAGTGTGCACACACAAACACACACACTGAAACGTCAGCATCTCCTTCGTTGTTAAGACCCTTGCTCACACAGCACTGGTCGTAAAGGCATGTCCATTGTAGAAATCGTTGCGGACTGCCAGGCCCAATGCTGCAGCCTAAACATACTAAGCCTATTGCCTTAATTACAAAGGTCAACTTCACGTTTGAATCAACCAGACCAACCCATTTGACAGTTTAGTTACACCATCAATCGAGTAACCACAGTCTGGTGGCGGGTAATCGTACTCGAGAAGGGATGACAGCACAGCTTCACATGACCCCAAAGGTCATTTAGTTGGTCGGTGTCTAGGTCCGTTTATGTGCATGAGCTCACTACCGCAAAACTCGATTAAAAAATGAACACTTGTGTATTTTGACCCCAACTCTAAGGGAAGCACTGTGGGTAGTTCAGCAACAGTCACTTGGGTCCAGTATTGACTATATCAACCACACTCACTAGACTGTCACCAGAACATCTTGCTGCTAATTGCGCTGCATAAAAAAGTACGGGGGAATGTGTGCGCATGCGCTTGTGCACCAAAGCTTGCTTTATCTTCCCCTATCATTGTTTCATACTTGAATAATTCTTCTATATAGTACGGCGCCAGGTGATAATCACACCGAAGTAGACCGGTGCCTACCGTCGATTTCCAATTATGGAGAAACCTACGGTAGGACTCGCGTTGATAGTGGTGCATAGTGATTATCTGGTAGCGTGTAGTGCGTGAGGTAGCATCAACTCCCATCGCTCAGCCACTACAACTTTGAACGACTTCCAAAGCTAAGCGCAAGACACAGTCAACAGCGGTGCTTATCACAGAGGACTGGAATGCACGCACTGGTTCGTACGACGAGCGTACTCGGTATGTTCTGGAGGGAGTTTGACCTTGGTCTATGGTGCGAAAATGGTGAGCGTCTAGTCACATTTGCTGACCTTGACGGGCTGGTCGTGGTCAACACCCGTTTCCACCACCCCAGAAAACACCTACTTACGTGGTACTCGAATGACGGTCGAACGGTATATCAGATTGATTACCTTTTGGTGCTTGCCCGCATGGCGTTTTCAATAGAATACTACCGTTTCTATCGTGGCTCAGAATGTGGAAACAGGAGCAGCACGGATCATACTCTTATATGCACCCGCTTCAAGGTCCACCTGACTACCCGCCGGAGGACTCGAATCCCAGGTAGATTCAACGTCGCTCACTAGAAACTACCTGAGAAAAGGCCAGCGTTATTGGACATAATCGCAACTCCTCTCGAGGACGAAGCTGTTAACATACAATGGTCTACACTGAAAACGTCCATCAGAGAAGCAGCGCTGAGGCAGTTACGTGAAATTCGTCGTCACAAAAATGACTGGATTTGCGAGCGAACCTTGCAGTCATCCGCCAAGGCAAGAGGCGCAGCTGATTAAATTGTCGGAATTCCGTAGTCTACCTGGTCAAGCTAGACGCTCCGTCAAGGGGGACCGTACGGAATACTGGGAGGGGATTGCAGACAGTATGAGGGCTTCAGTCGGACAGCGGAATGGAATGTTGGAGTGTTATTTCGCATAATCTGTCGTCGCAACCACCGTTGCGCGAAACAACGGGCCAATTTTCCCTGTGGGATGGGCGGAAGAGGCAAAAGTAGGTTGAACATTTCTCCAGGAAGCTCAGCTGTCCATCAAACTAACCTAGCTGTCCATAGGTGTCAAGCGGTTTGGAGACATGACATTAGTTATGACCCAGATAGTAGGACAGCAATCGCTAATGCGGTCACTTCTCTGAAACACACGAGTGCCCCTGAAGAGGACGCGATACCTCCAGAACTACTCGAAGCTTATTCGCTAACCCTGATTGATTTCATTTCGCAGAGAGAATTGTTTCCCAAATACCGAGCGAATACAACTTTATTCCCTGCTCCAAAGAAAGGGTGATAGATCAAAATGCGAAAACTATAGAAGTATTAGCTTCATTGATATTGCAAACAAATCGTTTCCGTTGATACTGCTTAACCGCTTCGCAGCCATTAGCAGAACTCACGCAAGAACAAAAGATGGGAGTTTTCCCGCGGAAGGGCCTATGTTGAACAACTCTTGCCTCTCAGTATTATTCACCGAAATTTATTACAGCCTGATTCATCGACTTCCATGTAGCCTTTGACTATCAACAAACTTTATGGTGCATACTATAGTCTGACGGGATGCCCGAGGAATGCATCAGACTTTTAAAGTGATACTAATTAGAGTATCGGGCACGAGTCCGCACCCATAGAATAGAATCGGTTGTGTATATTAGGCTCTCAAGCAGGACTGTCCCATAACTCCGGTGTCGTTTCAATATACCATATATTGGATACTGCAACATGAACTCATCGACTACCCCAGAGTGCAGCTTGGCTCAGACCTCGAGTTTGCGGATGTTGTCGTTGCACTTAAGGACAACATGAACAATCTCCAATCTGTTGTCAGTTGCATCTACCAGCTTGCCCAGGTCACTGGGTTAGAGAGCAACACGTTGAAATTCAAAACATTTTCGAGTGAAAATTCCACCGGAACACAATCCCCTCGATTAACGGAAAGTTTGTTGAATCAGCGCAACTTTCAAAGTATCTTGGCTCCACAATCACACCTAGAGACCAGGCTAAGGATGAAACCCAACTTCGTGCAGATGGAGCTAGAAGAGCCTCCTGAAACTCCTAAGATCGACAGGAAATAATCCCATACAGTAAGCTTCGGTTTTGGTGGGTTTACATCAGCCTTATCCTCACTTATGGTTGTGAGACACGGTCGTTATAAAAAACAAGATACAAAGAAGCCAACTGTCTTTGACCACTGGTGCTTAGGTCGCAAGTCGAAAGCAAATGGGAGAGATCGGACTTCCGAAGATGACGTCCGACGGCGTTGCTCGAACACCGATTAGCTTTCAAAACTGCAACAACGCCGACACCCTCAGTGGTTTGGTCACGTGTTCCGGAGGCCTGACACTTAGCTTAACTGAATTTCGCCCCGAGCATCCTGGTGCGAATGGTGTTTCCGAATTGGTAACTAACCGAAGAACTGGAGCAATATGATCAGGGCGGATGCGAAATGACTGAACGTCCAACAGGGAACCGGAACCGGAACTGTGTCTCAAACTGTACTAACCTTGCCGCCGATCGCCAGGCGTGGACCGCCATCATCAGAGACAACCAAGAAGCCGACTTATCCTCATGAAGGAGTTAGTCGCTCAAGACTTAAAAAAAAATACGTAACAGTAGTTGGAGAGTTCCAAGTTCGTACGGGTGATGAAAGGATGATGTTAAGAACATAAAACCAATGATCATCTCCCGTAATTCGAGCGCAAGAAATCTAGCCCAGAAAGGCCACTTCCATGTACCTAGTTCAAAGGCATTGGACCTACTTTAGCATTCACACCTTCAGGTAAAATTGGGATATCAGCCCGACTGGCTCCATGCAAGATATCTTGTAACTTTTCGTCAAAGAAAACTCTGACGGTATCTGGGTCAGGCGTGTGTACGTCGTAACGACAAACAAGTTACGACTTTCGAGAAGGAAATTGCTTATTTTTCACGAACCTCTGAGACTCACAGCGCACAACCGAACGTCGACTGAATTGCAGTTTATCGAGGCAACTTTAACTCTCTTTCTCTCTCCCTCTCTCTTAAAACCGTGGCAACGCCAGCAACACCAGAAGTCATAAAACCTTGGAGAATGTAACTGAATCCCTCTTGCAGGTAGAAGAATTTGGTACAATGAATATGGGATAGTAATAAAAAGTGATTACAAACCTTTCTGGATTGAATTTCCATGCCAACAGATCATCGTTACTCTGCCTGACGCCCGTTTGTGCTTCTTTGGCGAACCCATGCATTGTTTTATAGACCAAATTAGTGGACGGCTCGAACAACTTTTTAGAACAAAACAAAGTGTCATCACCGCCCAGGATTGTAGACGAGTGTGGCATAGATCCCAACTTGGAGCGTGTTTTGCGAGCAGGCTGGAGAAAATATATTACTATCTCATAAATGTGATAAAACCTACCAAAATAGTACTCAGCTGAGCCAGCCAAAAATCTGCGTTCACATAACGCGTAACATAAGCTTCCATCTGTTTTTCGTGTGCTTCCCTTTGGCGCACTAGTTGCATCTCCAATTCCTCTTTTTCCCTTTGTAGTAAGTCCAAATGTGCTTGGAGGACTGCAGCTCGTGACAACTCACTGGGAACCAAGGTAATCTAATTGAAGTAGTTGTTACCTTGATGCATCTACGTTTTGGAGGGATAGATCACACACCGTTCCCGCCGTCGAGCCACTTGGATTAGGAGCACCCTCCATATGAAAATCCTTATCAAACGAAGAGAATTCCATAGATATTATCTGTTAAAGGGGAACCCTTTTGACTTTCAATAAAAATGTTATATGTATAAACGGATGATACACGTTTTAGCCCAAGCAATACCATAAAATCCATGAGATCTTCTTTTGCTTACAACTAACAATATAAACGGGTCGCCGGATTGTCGGAGCCACCTACGTAATCCGCGAGGTTAACACGTATCCACAATGTAGTCTGAATTCGTCACTGTCTTTTCAAACCAGCCAGATCTAAGTACCCACATGTGATGGCCTCAAGGATCTCAACTTGATAAAGTCATAAAGCTGCCAATGTGTCAAGGAAGAATTGTGTTCGTCGCTGCATTTACTCATCAAAATACTGTAATTTCAATGGAACAAATTCGTTGCGTTTTGCCACTGAATGCTGGTGGGCGGTAGCATGGAGGGCAGTTTCAGTTTTCAGTCTGTACAAACATTAACCACGCATATTCGTGTGGTTAATGGAGGGCAGTAGAGTGCACGACTCCTAGTGCTCTCATGAAAAAGTGCAGTACTCATAGCTCTTTGAACTTATCCAGTGAATCTGAGTGTTTAGAGCACTTTCCATAAAGCGATCTCACAAGCTGCGAAATAGTCTTCTGAAGTTATACCGAGGACTTGGTAAAGGAAATTCTGATGGTAGCCACTGAGGAGGAAAAAAGGAAAACAAACAAAGGAAACAAACAGAATAAGCAGGGGCACCTGGGATTCCGCGGAGAATCAAAACATCCTCTCAAGCATCATGAATCTAAACGGTCAGTTATAGTTCAGGAAGTGTTGAGAGCTAAGTCAACTGCAGACGGTCATTCCTATTTACTGTCGCCGATCGTTATAAGCTAACCCGCTTGGAGGTATCGCATAAAATCAGCTAAATTACCGCTTAGTTTAGTTCTTGGTGCGAATGAACTGGACGCTGAAAATGTTTTGTTTCATTCTCCTCTTCTAGAGGGCCTTGCCGGGTGAACGGAACTCGACAATGAGGCAATGGCCATATTCAATGGCGGGCCAGACTCGCCATACCACAGCGCTAACAAAATACACATGTAGTGTTTTGCACGGAGAATCCTTGCCGAGCGGTAAACCAGTCAAAATCTCGAGCCGCTGATTGTCCGCGACCGATTGTTCAGTGAGCCTAAACCCACCTTCACGGTTAACTGCACGTTGGCGGCCATTCCGTGGGACGGTTTAGTCGCGGTCACCGAAGTGCTTTGAACCCTATTGTCCGACCCACGACCGCGAATCAAATTCGGTGATGGGTAACTCTGTCGTTGTCCGGTTCAGTAACACGCCTAATCTAAAGGGGCCTTGTGTGGTTCGTCACTTCAAGTTCTGGAGCTTGAGTTACCTGATTATCACTGAACAGCAGCGGGTACGGGGTTCATCCTGTCTGCTGTTTATCACATTTGTAATGAAATAATCTGCTCTCATTTTACTGCTAGAAAATTAAACCGCCATATATGGCCGGAATATTGTTTTCCATCAAAACAAAACGGAGTTTATACGAGACTGAAAGCTTACAGCCTGTCTTCCAAAAGCCACAGTTTCAGTTTCAGTTTGAACAACCATTAACCACGCATATGCGAGCGCCGGTTTTGGTTGCTCTTTTGGCTGCCCATTGGGATGAAGAATAACAGAAGAAAGAAAAGTTGAAAGTGGAATCGAAAAGAAAATGGAGAAGTTCAGTGATCTAAGGTTGCAAAGAAATTGAGGAGATGCACGAACGCCACTGTTTACGACACCCAGCCATATCG